CGTCTAGGGGTCGGGCCGGGTGGCGCGCGGGCGTCTAGGGGCCGGGACGGGCGGCGCGCGGGCGTCTAGGGGCCGGGACGGGCGGCGCGCGGGCGTCTAGGGGCCGGGACGGGCGGCTCACGGGCGGCGAGGGGCCGGGACGGGCGGCGCGCGGGCGTCGAGGGGCCGGGACGGGCGGCGCGCGGGCGTCGAGGGGCCGGGACGGGCGGCGCTCGGGCGTCTAGGGGCCGGGACGGGCGGCGCGCGGGCGTCTAGGGGCCGGGACGGGCGGCGCGCGGGCGTCTAGGGGCCGGGCCGGGTGGCGCACTGGCGTCTAGGGGCCGGGACGGGCGGCGCGCAGGCGTCTAAGGGCCGTGACGAGCGGCTAAAGGGGCCACTAGGGGCCAAGAGAGAGGGGAGCGCGACTCGGGTAGGGGCAGAGTGCGCTCCGGGCAGGAAAAAAAAAACGGTGGGCCCTAGGAACAGTTCCCACGAGGGAACCTGCTCGATACCATGAGAAAAGTAGAACGAGAATGGATGAACTATGAATGAAGTGAGTACATATAGGAAACCCTAATTGAGTTGTACCCCCTATGGGATACCCCACTATAGCCTACACAACAGCATAAGCTATATATATGTTCTGACAGTGCTGTGTTCTTTTTTTTGGTTTTGGCGGGAACCAATCAGATGTGTTCGATCTGCAAAAAACGCTCTCAATGAAACACTGGAAACTTGTCGGTTTGGTTCCAAAATTGTTTCGCACGGCAAGCCCTCTTTCAAGTTGGCGTTGGGTTCACTATTTTGCATTTCGGTTTTAATGCAGTATGGTAAGAATGATGAATACGGATTGAATTTAAGTGGGTAAGCAAATGAGGCGCAACAACAGAAGGGGCAGGAGAGTTCTAATACACTCAAAAAGCAGCTGCACAAGCCATAGAGGTATGGGAAAAAGTGTCGGTGCTGGGATTCGAGCCCAGGTCTCCACGGCCACAACGTGGGATTCTAACCACTTTATTTACAATGTATATGTGTACAAAAGATACAGACGGATTTGAGCATCAAGAGGCTACCTAACTAGCAATGGCCCAACTGCAATCCTAGGTTGAGACCCCCAATGAGGTCTCAAGAACCAACACCAAGGTACGCAAAGTCAGCCAAGGAGGGTGGGGTGGGATCTGGTGGGGCGGAGGGTGTGTCAACACTGTAACGAATTTGTGTCCGACGGCAGATGGTTCGAGCCTGCTCACGCTGGTGCACCAAGGAAATCCTCTTGAAGTAGCTAGTCTCGAAGAGCTCTGGAATCAGGTCAGATGCACCACCCATGTCACGAAGTCGAGTCGCCCCTCGTCTGCTGCAGTCTTTGATGAAGCTGAGAAATGCCGTGCTGAAGCAACCGAAGGTTTCAAGAACGAGAGGAAGAAGCTTCACGTCTGGGCGGTTTTGTAAGGAAGATGCATACAGGGTCCGCTTCTCAGTTTCGCGAGCAGATGCAGCTGAGCCGATTACTGATGCAGTCTTGGAGTTTGGGGGACCATGCTGCGCGTCTGCAACTGAAACATCTAATGCCCACGTAGTCCCAGAGCTGATATCACGGCAGCTGATGTCTGGGCGACGTCCTGAAAGAAGGTGGGAGTCCTCCAGCTGTACGACGTAACCAAGCTCGGACGTGATGCGATGAACCTCAAGCTTGATGGCGTCGTGGACCCTGGTAGGCTCGTTAGAGGATGGGCAGCGGAGGACGTGAGAGACGACTGAAGGGTCTGTGAATGCCGAGCCACAAGTGCATGTGCGGGTGGTCGTGAGGTGTGGAATGGGGAGGCCAAGACGAATAGCGGCTGCAATACACCACTCCGTCAATTTATTTTGCGTCGGCAAACACCTTTCTACCCCCCTGCCTGCTTGCTACTTGGCCAACACAGCTGAAGCTGCAAGGTTGAACTAAAAAACAACTCAAGCGTAGAACCAGTGGCTTTGAATTGTATTTAGAGTGCCAATGGAAGTGAGTGCAGCAGTGAGAGCGGCGGTCAGACCTTGCGGTATATGACCCTCCTCTCCCGCCGGTTCTCCACCTCCCCCCGTGCCACCATGATGAGCAGCGCTTGCCGCACCTGATGCATGCAGCATGCGACGATACATGCCACGCCCCATTCCACATGCCAAACGCCATACGCCACATGATGAGCAGCGCTCGCCGGACCTGATGCATGCAGCATGGGACGATGCATGCCACGCCCCATTCCACATGCCATGCCAAATGCCATACGCCACATGCCACACGCCATGCAACATGCACATGCCACATTCGAGGTTATACATGTGCTGAAGGATTGGGATGAGCGTTGCACACAGCACCCGCCAGGTAGACACCGAATGGGCAGCAATCTGGAGATCACACAGCCAGTAAAATCACACGCACGCAGCCTCCTGATGCAGCAACAATGAGGCAATGAGACAACTAGGCACAACGAGGGATTGAGGCACAATGAGGCAATGAGGCAATGAGGCAATGAGGCAATGAGGCAATGAGGCAATGAGGCACAATGAGGCAATGAGGGAATGAGGCAATGAGGCAATGAGGCAATGAGGCAATGAGGCAATGAGGCAATGAGGCAATGAGGCAATGAGGCACAATGAGGCAATGAGGCAATGAGGCAATGAGGCAATGAGGCAATGAGGCAATGCCCACTCACACTCTCTGCTCCCACTCACACTCTCTGCTCCCACTCACACTCCCTGCTCCCACTCACACTCTCTGCTCCCATTCACACTCTCTGCTCCCACTCACACTCTCTGCTCCCACTCACACTCTCTGCTCCCACTCACACTCTCTGCTCCCACTCACACTCTCTGCTCCCACTCACACTCTCTGCTCCCACTCACACTCCCTGCTCCCACTCACACTCTCTGCTCCGATTCACACTCTCTGCTCCCACTCAGACTCTCTGCTCCCACTCACACTCTCTGCTCCCATTCACACTCTCTGCTCCCACTCACACTCTCTGCTCCCACTCACACTCTCTGCTCCCACTCACACTCTCTGCTCCCATTCACTCTCTCTGCTCCCACTCACCCCTCTGCTCCCACTCACACTCTCTGCTCCCACTCACACTCTCTGCTCCCACTCACACTCTCTGCTCCCACTCACACTCTCTGCTCCCACTCACACTCTCTGCTCCCACTCACACTCTCTGCTCCCACTCACACTCTCTGCTCCCACTCACACTCTCTGCTCCCACTCACACTCTCTGCTCCCACTCACACTCTCTGCTCCCACTCACACTCTCTGCTCCCACTCACACTCTCTGCTCCCACTCACACTCTCTGCTCCCACTCACACTCTCTGCTCCCACTCACACTCTCTGCTCCCACTCACACTCTCTGCTCCCACTCACACTCTCTGCTCCCACTCACACTCTCTGCTCCCACTCACACTCTCTGCTCCCATTCACTCTCTCTGCTCCCACTCACACTCTCTGCTCCCACTCACACTCTCTGCTCCCACTCACACTCTCTGCTCCCACTCACACTCTCTGCTCCCACTCACACTCTCTGCTCCCACTCACACTCTCTGCTCCCACTCACACTCTCTGCTCCCACTCACACTCTCTGCTCCCACTCACACTCTCTGCTCCCACTCACACTCTCTGCTCCCACTCACACTCTCTGCTCCCACTCACACTCTCTGCTCCCACTCACACTCTCTGCTCCCATTCACTCTCTCTGCTCCCACTCACCCCTCTGCTCCCACTCACACTCTCTGCTCCCACTCACACTCTCTGCTCCCACTCACACTCTCTGCTCCCACTCACACTCTCTGCTCCCACTCACACTCTCTGCTCCCAATCACACTCTCTGCTCCCACTCACACTCTCTGCTCCCACTCACACTCTCTGCTCCCACTCACACTCTCTGCTCCCACTCACACTCTCTGCTCCCACTCACACTCCCTGCTCCCACTCACACTCTCTGCTCCCACTCACACTCTCTGCTCCCACTCACACTCTCTGCTCCCACTCACACTCTCTGCTCCCACTCACACTCTCTGCTCCCACTCACACTCTCTGCTCCCACTCACACTCTCTGCTCCCACTCACACTCTCTGCTCCCACTCACACTCTCTGCTCCCACTCACACTCTCTGCTCCCATTCACTCTCTCTGCTCCCACTCACCCCTCTGCTCCCACTCACACTCTCTGCTCCCACTCACACTCTCTGCTCCCACTCACACTCTCTGCTCCCACTCACACACTCTGCTCCCACTCACACTCTCTGCTCCCACTCACACTCTCTGCTCCCACTCACACTCTCTGCTCCCACTCACACTCTCTGCTCCCACTCACACTCTCTGCTCCCACTCACACTCTCTGCTCCCACTCACACTCCCTGCTCCCACTCACACTCTCTGCTCCCACTCACACTCTCTGCTCCCACTCACACTCTCTGCTCCCACTCACACTCTCTGCTCCCACTCACACTCTCTGCTCCCACTCACACTCTCTGCTCCCACTCACACTCTCTGCTCCCACTCACACTCTCTGCTCCCATTCACACTCTCTGCTCCCACTCACACTCTCTGCTCCGACTCACACTCTCTGCTCCCACTCACACTCTCTGCTCCCACTCACACTCTCTGCTCCCACTCACACTCTCTGCTCCCACTCACACTCCCTGCTCCCACTCACACTCTCTGCTCCCACTCACACTCTCTGCTCCCACTCACACTCTCTGCTCCCACTCACACTCTCTGCTCCCACTCACACTCTCTGCTCCCACTCACACTCTCTGCTCCCACTCACACTCTCTGCTCCCACTCACACTCTCTGCTCCCACTCACACTCTCTGCTCCCACTCACACTCTCTGCTCCCACTCACACTCTCTGCTCCCACTCACACTCTCTGCTCCCACTCACACTCTCTGCTCCCACTCACACTCTCTGCTCCCCACCACCCACAACTCGCACTCCCACTCAACCAGCCAGTGCCTCACGGCGCTCTCACTGATGCCCCACCGTGTGATATCATCCAGCAGCCGCCTCTCCGTTCCCACACGAGCCCCCCCGATGGCCACGCAGCACCGCACAGCGCCCTCCACCTGCTGCACCTCGCGCCGCTGCTCCTCTGTCAGCACTGCGCCGTCCACCACGCCCGACCGGGCAGCGTCTAGTGTCGCGAGGTGGAAGAGATGAAGCGCCTCGGTGACGTGCTCCTCCGTGGCCACTGCTGAGCTGTGGGGGGAGAAAGGGTGGGGGGAGAAGGGGTGGGGGGAAGAACCAGAGGAAGGGGAAAAGTGGGGCCAGGTAACTGGGAGATGGGGAGTTGGGAGGAAATGATAGAGGAGAGGAAAAGTGGGGAGAACATAGGGGGATGATCAAATCCAGTCAGAACGGTTTCTAATCCAGTCAGAACGGTTTCTAATCCAGTCAGAACGGTTTCTACATCCATCACACAGCTGCATGCGATTTCATTGCCACATACAGCTGCATGCCACGTCGCTCACAGCTGCATGCCATGTCGCTCATAGCTGCATGCCACGTCACTCACAGCTGCATGCCACGTCACTCACAGCTGCATGCCACGTCACCCAAAGCTGCCTTCCCCGTCACCCACAGCTGCATGCCACGTCGCTCACAGCTGCATGCCACGTCGCTTACAGCTGCATGCCACGTCACTCACAGCTGCATGCCACGTCACTTACAACTGCATGCCACGTCACTCACAGCTGAATGCCATGTCATTCACAGCTGCATGCACGCGACTCTGAGAGCCTCACAATAGCCTCCAGCTGGCGAACCGTGATTGGCAGCACTAATGCCTCCCCCATCTCCGTTGCTCTCTGCAGCATGTTCTGACAGGCGAGGGGGCGTTGAGGGGGGATGATGCCACAGCATGTGATGCAGCACGATGAGGTGGGATGCGGAATGGTGCGGTGCAGTGCGGTGCGACGTGATGTGTGCTGTGGCGCGCTTCAACGTGTTGTCCTGAAACAAGAACCATCATGGCACAACAACAAGTAGCTCAACGGCGGATGTGCAAATAGCGGTTTTACAGCATTGCTGTGCTGTGCTGTGCTGTGCTGTGCTGTGCTGTGCTGTGCTGTGCTGTGCTGTGCTGTGCTGTGCTGTAATGCAATGCAACATGTCCCACCACAACACAATGGCAAGCAGCACACCTGGCGGATCTGCACGTGGTTATTCTGCAGCGGCATTGCTGCCGATTCTGGCAGCCGCGGCGAGCAGCACGTGCAAGCAAACTCAATGTACCTAATGGGGAGGGGGGAGAGGCGGTGGGGGTGGGGTGGGGTTAGAGAGGGAACCGACGGGGAACGAGGAGCTATGCCACATCCTCTTGAGTCGAGCAGACTCTGTCTGTGCACCCGGCGTAGTGACCAGAAAAAAGCCCATACGAACTTTCACAACAATGGGAACACGAGCTGTCTATTGCTTCACGGAACACAACTCTGTGAAGCACAAGGGGGGAAACACATGGGGTGAGGCGAAACATGCAAGTGACTCTGGCCTGGCCTAGTTTATACCTCCATCCCACCCCATCCACCCTTTCCACCTCTCCTCACGGCACATTTTGTTTGTCCGTACCATCTCATGCCATGAGACGAGAGAGCTTGAGGAAACGAGACGGGGAGCATGAGGAGATGAGAAGGGAGGGAGAGCGTGAGGAGATGAGAAGAGGAGCATGAGGAGATGAGAAGGGAGGGAGAGCGTGAGGAGATGAGAAGGGGAGCATGAGGAGATGAGAAGGGAGGGAGAGCGTGAGGAGATGAGAAGGGGAGCATGAGGAGATGAGAAGGGAGGGAGAGCGTGAGGAGATGAGAAGGGGAGCATGAGGAGATGAGAAGGGAGGGAGAGCGTGAGGAGATGAGACGAGAGAGCATGAGGAGATGAGAAGGGAGGGAGAGCGTAAGGAGATGAGACGAGAGAGCATGAGGAGATGAGAAGGGAGCAAGAGAGGAAATGAGTTAGGGAGCACGTGAGGGGATGACACAGGAGAAAGAGAGGAGATGAGAAAGAAGCACGGTGGAAAATGAGAGGGGAGAACGGGGGGAGACGAGATGGGAGAACAGGGGAGATGAGAAGGAAGAACGGGAGGAAGGTAGGGAGAACTGGAGGAAATGAGGAAGAAAGGTAGGGTGGCAGGGCGGATGGTGGCGAGGAGTCAGAGAGGCAGGGAGGGAGGGAGGGAATGAGGAAGGAGGACGGTTGGAACAGAGACATGTGAGGTAGCGCGGATGGGGGAAACGAAGGAATGGTGCGACGGGATGGGGATGCGTGGGCGACGGGATGGGGATGCGTGGGCGACGGGAAGGAGTGAGCATGGGCGATGGAGGGGAGTGAGCGTTGGCGACAGAAGAGAGTGCGCGAAGGCGACGGGAGGGCAGGGAGCGTGGGCTTTGGACATGAGTGCACGTATGCGACGAAAAGCCAGTTAGTTTATCCCGTCGCAGGTTGAGAGCGATGGCGACGAAGTAACAAAAAAAAAAAAAAAAAAAACGCGAAATGCGATGGGATGGGCAGAGGACGGCGGGCTAGGAAAGGAAGCGATTTCGATGCGGTGGGCGATGGGGAAGTGCAACCAGGGCGACGATGGGCATAAGCGCTAGAATGGGCATGGCCCGCGACGTGGAGTGAAAACGAGAACTCAGGCTATCGGAAAGCTAGGGTGACGAATCGGACGGGACGGGGGAATAGAGGAGAGAGGATCGGTGGAAGAGCGGAAGGCGAAAAGGCGAGGATAGGCGGAGTAATGGAGGTGGAGACTAGCTTTTTCTGGACTATCGCGGTCACTGGCTAGGAACTAACTGGTACACATTTGTCCTGGTGCTGACGTAAGCAAAGCAGCGAAAGGGAAATGCCAGTACGAATCCTATCGAATCCTAGGGAAGTTGGCGAAACTAAAGATGGTTGGGCGAACTCTATCAAAAGTTCATGTTTTGCTCGACTTTATACAAACGAACTTTGAATGACAATGACAATGACAATGACCTCGAGCTCTCCGCCATGGCTGCTCAACGCATACTGGAACCCGACATTTCGGGACGTCGCTTTATCAGTTGACTACGTTACTGTTACCATTGGCATCGCCTTCGTCCCAGCTTTCGGAAGATACACTTTTAATGTCCATACAGCGGACATTGTTTCTTCTGTTAACAAGGCATTTCTCGATGCTGACCTGGCAGTTCTTGATATCTCCGCGATTTTTTATTGGTTTCCTATGCAAGAACTTAAGAAGTGGCTACTGCTCCTGGATTCCTATTCGGACTTTATCAAGCTTATTCAGCGTTCAACTTCCAAGGTTTCTACCTCGGAGTTGCATCAACAACAACCAGGACAATGGTTTCATCACTCATTGGAACTATTTAAGCAGTGGTTGCTCAGTCAGGCAGCTCATCAGTTCACATTCGCTTCAGTCTTTAACGACATCCTGCTGCTTTATCATCATCACACCATGCCGCCGAAGGGTTCCAAGTCCTCTAAGTTGCCAGTTGACGCGAATGGGGATAATGGGCTCATTGACACGCCTGATGCTCCTGCAGTGGACAAGTCGTCAACGGATAAGCAACCATTGTCAGAGGCTGGTGGATCTGGTCTTTCGGTCGCTGAAAAAGCGGCTATGCTTACTGATGAGCTCATTGATGATGATTCTGATGACGAGTTGGAGTTTGATGTGAAGCAGGAAGTTGCTTCTCGCCTCCGTTTTACGGCGATCCTGCTGATCCCATTCATGCTGAACCAGGAGTTGGGTTCAGTGATCGCAACGGTCCGTACGCTGTTAAAGAAAGTGTGGTTCAAGGATTTGTCTACCAACGCACCTGCAACATCGACGATCCAGTCCCTGCAGCCTGCTTATGTCGCGAAGACCAGGTTCTGCCGTCTTCAGATCTCTCTCCTGCATGAAGACGGCGTAGACATCATCAGGCAGAAGGAGGTGGAATATCGGCGTGCAAACGGCACTTTTGTCAAGCTCTTCTGGCAGCACACGGAAGACGTGGATTTTCTCAAGGAAAAGTCGCTTAATTCGCAAGTTGTTGAAGTTGTTTTCCGGAACGTACCTGCTAACATCTCCCCAGATTTGCTGAAGGATCTCCTCGCTCGTTACAAGCTGAAAATCCGCCAGCAGCCGCCGTTCCTGGAAGGAAAGTGTTTTCACCGCGTTCTGCATCCAGTCACGGGAGCAGATACTGACACTATCAAGGGACTGGTCATTCCACACCCGGGGGATAAGCACAAGTGGAGACAGGTGGTGAACATCCCGGCGGACACAAGCAAGATCCTGGTCCACTACCCTTCGTTATCCTGCTCCATCTGCGGGGGACAGCATTATGAGTTAAATCATGATGTGTTCGTCACAGAGAGGCAGAATAACATAGGGAAGTGGAACCTTACTCTGGGACGGGTGCATAGGATTAATGGTAACCATGTTGCCGTTTTGTCTCAGTCCCATCTCGCCTTACCTCTCGTCGACTAATCACTGGCCCTCTTGTCGCAGCTGCGTCTCTGCGCACTTCTCCGCTTGTCACTCCGATTCTTCGAGATCCTGCCATTGCCTTGATCTCCACCGGCTGCAACAGGGAGGAGTGAATCTGTACGCAGACAGGCTGCGGGAAGGCCAAAGGAAAGTCCTTCATGACGGCGTCCGATCATGTGGCATCTGCAAACCATCTCATTCATCTGGAAAAGATGGGAACGGCAACGCGTGCTACACTCGAGAAGGCAACCCTTGCCCTGCTCAAGAAGGACTACAGACTCTAGCTGCATGGTCGGCTGCAACAGCGGTAGTTTTCTCAGTTGTCAGTGTAGTCTCAGCAATATCAGCTTTCAGCCTGTGGATGCGTAGGGGCTGCCAAGGAGTGGTTAGATGAATACATCCAATGTCTTATCGTTCGCCGGCCTTAATGTGAATGGGCTCGGAGATGCAACAAAGCAATCATGGGTCACCACCTGGGCAAGAAGTGCAGCAGACGTTACGATTTTCTCAGATACTAGGCTCTCTGATAGTCACACCTACTGGAACTCCTTACCGAACGCCACTGTAGTCGCCACCTCAACAAGAGCTAGAGCGGGTGGAGTAGCAGTCATCTCATGGGATCCAGGTATTCAGCTGCAAAACACACTGGTACATCCCTCCGGTAGATTAGTTAAGACAGAAGTAGTTGGGAAAGGTCTTAGTATTACCCTTTTAGCGGCCTATTTCCCATCGTCTCCAGCGGCGCGCACCATCTTTATTAGGGATGTCGTAGGTCCAGTTGTAGATCAGGTAGCTCAAGGCAGTCACCTCCTACTAGTCGGTGACCTCAATATGGTGGAAGACCCATTTCTAGATAAGACGTCACGTGCGGGATCAGTAGCAGGCAACGGCAAGCTGGTCAGGAGATGCGGGAGTTTCCATATTTCAGATGCTTTCCGCACGTTATACCCTAACAGGAGAGAGTTTACCTTCATGTCGCAGGCGAAGAGGGCCAGCACGTGGATCGACCGTGCTCTGCTGTCGCAGTCCCTCCTCTCCAGCCTGACATCGGCAGATCATATCTCACCGGACGACCCCATTTCGGATCATGGCTTCGCCATTCGGGTTGCCTTCCGCTGTAGCTCCAAGGCGAAGACGGGTCCCGGTGTATGGAGGCTCCCTGTACATCTGGTCAACAGGCCAGGGGTGCGGAAGGTGGTGGAAGCTGCAGTCAAGCAGTCAGGAGGGGATTATGCTCTGCTGTTGGCAAGGTTGAACGCTGGGCTCAAAGCATATGCAAAGGAGGAAAGCAAGAGGGTTAAGGCAACACTGCGACATCTTTCGGGAGCAGTGGCGAGATTGAAGCAGGAGGTGATGGGTGCGCCTGACTGCCCGCGCCTACGGGAGCTTCTGGGGGTTCGGGAGCTTCAACTGAAGGAGTATCAGGCTTCCCGTCGCGATAGGCTGCATCTGATGGCGGGTTTTGACGCGGAACTGAAGGGGGAGATCGCCTCGAAGCATCTGTCGGGGAAGGTGAAAGCTCGGAAGCAACGCACGCAAATCACGGAGTTAAATGTCAACGGCAAGGTGGTCAGTGACATCCAGGGTATTCTGCAGGCAGCTGGGGAGTTCTTCAATGAGATTTTTGGCGCAGACAAAAGGACTCACCGATCAAATTGGAAGCCGGAGCGGAGGTTATCGGCTGAAGAGGCGGACGGGCTGGTAAAGCGCTGGACGGAGGAGGAGGTCCGCCATGCTTTTAAGATGCTGGCGTGCAGGAAGTCGCCGGGCCTGGACGGGATTCCGAAGGAGCTGTTTGAGCTGCACTGGGACATTCTCGGTAAAGGCTTCATGGAGCTTGCTCACGATTTAGAGGTGTCGGCTTCGCTCCCTGCAAGCACCAAGGAGGCAGTGACAATCTTATTACATAAAAAGGGGGAGAAATGTCAGCTGAACAACTACCGACCGATTACGTTGTTGAACTTCACCTACAAAGTGCTGGCGCGTGTGGTTGCGGAGAGAATGAAGGCGGTCCTCCACCGGGTAATCTCAAAAGAGCAGTACGGCTTCATCCCAGGACGGCGCCTCTCCGATGCTGTCAGCCTGGTCGCGGATGTTATCGATGCCGCGAATAAGGGAGACAAAGACTGGTTCCTCCTGTTGGTGGATTTCAAGAAAGCCTTCGACACGGTCTCGCGAGGCTTCCTCTTCGAGACGCTGGAGAAGATGGGATTCCCGCCTCTTTTTGTGAGCTGGGTGAAAGGTCTGCACACGGACACACGCACAAGGCTGCTGGTTAATGGTTGGAAAGGAGATGCTCTGGAGGTGGTATTGGGGGTTCGGCAAGGCTGCCCTCTGGCTCCTTACCTCTTCTTATGCGCGGTGGAGCCGTTGGCGCAAGAAGCGGAGAAGCGGCAGCTTGGTATCAGCAACGACTCTGGCTGGCGCATGCCGTATTTGGGATACGCGGATGACACGACGTTGTTGCTGCAGGGGAGGGAACAAATTGCTGAAGCAGGAAAGTTGCTGGGTTATTTCGAGGGCATTTCAGGATTGGCCACGAACAAGGACAAATCAGTCGTGATGCCGCTGGGGAGAAATTTAAACGGGAGGCCATGGAGACCTGATGGCTTCAAATGGGCTGGTGTGGATGACGCGGAGAGACTGCTTGGTGTTTGGGTGACGGCTTCAGGCAACTGCACAGTGACGTGGGAAAAAACACTGGAGAGGATTCTCGGGGAGCTGGGCAAATGGCAGCTGAAATACCTTA